AATGGTGCTGCTGAATTGCCGGGGGGGGGCACTCCAGCCGGCAAGGGAGGTGCATCCTGGGGTGCTTTGCTTCCTGTGTGGAGTGAGGAAGGGACAAGGCCAGCCGGCCGAGGGAAAGGGAGCCCACCAGCAGGACATGCGGGCCAAGGCCTAATGGGGAAGGTGGGGTGGCAGGCAGGCCAGAGTGGCACCCTCGTTGAGCCGCTGCCCTAGGCAACGGTCTAAAATTTGTCAGTGATGGGCCGGCCCTGCCCACAGCATAGCATTCTTGTGCCCCCCCCCTTCTTCAAGTGCCAGAACCACTGGTTTTGGGAGGCGTGTTGAAAGACCTGAGTCCGATTGAGGTGAAGAGAGAGGAGGTCCTACGACTGATAGGCAACTTAAAATCTGATAAATCACTAGGCCTGGGTGGCATACATCCAAGAGTTCTGAAATGTGAACTTGTGGATCTCCTGACAAAAATATGTAATCTTTCATTAAAATCTGCCTCCATTCCTGAGGACTGGAAGGTAGCTAATGTCACCCCCATCTTTAAAAAGGGTCCCATCGATACCGGGTAAGTTGGTGGAAACTGTTGTTAGGGAGAGAATTAGTAGGCACATTGATGAACAAAAACTATTGAGGCAGGGTGCGGTCACATGGTTGTTTTGATCGGGTTTCACTGCTGGTCCCTCTCGCATTTAAATTTGCTGATCAGACATGCCAATCCACCTCCCGCGCCGAAGTGGGCTCTCTTGCACAATCCTCCCGGTTCTCTACCGCGTTTTCCTGCTCTGGGAAAATCAAGTACTTTCCGGGTACTTGCGCTTTGAATCCACGATTTTGCCTATCTGGACAGCCATCTCTCGTGCAGTGATTGCGATTAGGTCGTCTGACCATTCTTCACCGCAATGAGGGTTCCCCCCCAGCTTCTTCGAGCGTGTGAGCAATCCTGCACTAAATATGTTCATTGCATGAACGTTCAAGTGCACAACTTCCTCTCCTCTCTCTCCTGCCCCCCTCCCCGGTCCCTGGGTTTCTTGGATTTCCAGCAAGCCTCCTCTTGCCAGCTGGCTTCCTTTTCTTCCGGGTCCACTCCGGTGTCCACTTCTGTCCCCCCCCCGATCCTGTGCACTTTCACCAAAACCTGCTTTCCACCCACTCTGGGGCTGGGAAGGGGGCAGAGAAGCCGACTTTTCCCCCTCTCATCCTTTCCACATTTTTTTTTGCCAAGCTGCCACCTCGTGTGTAAGAGCGATGTGTATAAACCTTCAAGCACTTGGTTGTATGTGGCTGGGTAGTTTTGTTTGCTGTTGGGGGGGGGGAACCTGCCACTACCCCTTTAAAGGGGGCGGGGGGGGGGAGGAGAGTCCCTCTCCTGCTCTCTCTGGGGCTGATGATTAACCTGCTGCTGGCTGGGCTGTGCAGGACCAAGTGTAAATAATGCCGGCAGCCCAAGTTCCTCCACTGGACCCGGGCGAGGGAGGGAGGGAAGCCCAGGAAGCAATGTGTCATCCCAGCAGTCAGGGAAATGAGAAGCCATGCTTGAGGACTCAGACGCATCAGTTTGCACAATAATTTTTTTCATTTCATCTGGGTGGGCAAGCACCGGTTCTGAGGTGAATAAGGCCTTTAGGCGATCGAACGCGTCTTGACACTCATTGCTCCATGGCAGTGTGGCGCTCGGCTTTGTAGCCTCCGGGCCCTTCCCCTTAGTTTTTAGGAGATCTGTGAGGGGTAAGCTGACCTGGGCAAAGTTGGGTAAAAAGGTTCTGTAAAAGTTCGCAAAACCGAGGAAGGATTGGAGCTGTCGTCTGGTTCCGGGTACCTCCCAACCCAACACATCTTGCACCTTCCCCGGGTCCATGGCCAGGCCCCGGTCAGAGATCCGATACCCCAAGAAGTCAATTTGCATTTTGTGAAATTCACATTTTGACAGTTTGGCGAAGAGTTTGTGCTTGTGCAACGTGGTTAAGACCTCCCTCACCAATTTCACATGTGAAGGCAGGTCGGGGGAGTACAGCAATATATCATCAAGGTAAACAAGCACCCCCTTGAACAAGTGCTTGTGTAACACTTCATTTATTAAGTTCATGAAGACCCCTGGAGCCCCCTGAACGCCGAAAGGCATCACCCGGTATTCGAATTGACCCAGGGGGGTGTTGAAAGCGGTTTTATGTTCGTCCCCTTCCCTGATGCGCACCCGGAAGTAGGCATCTCGAAGGTCTAGCTTGGAGAATATTTTCCCTTTGGCCCATGAGCAAGTCTTTAATCAATGACACGGGATAGGCGTTAGTAGTTGACACTGCATTTAAGCCCCGGTAATCCGTGCAGAGTCTTAGCCCCCAATTCTTTTTCTTTTGGAATAGAACTGGGGCCGTGAAGGGGGACGAAGCCGGTCGGATGAACCCTCGGGCTAAGTTCTTCTCTATGAATTTGTGCAGTTCTTCCTTTTCGGCCAATCCCATTGCATAGATGCGCCCCTTCAGCAATTTCTGCCCCGGCAACAGTTCAATGCTACAGTCTGAATGTCTGTGAGGGGGGAGCTCTTCCTCTTCCTCCTCAAACACTCTAGCCAAATCCCGATACTCGGGGGGAATGGTTAACAGCTCCTCCTGAGCCAGGCACACACAAGGGCCCTCCGCTATGGGCTGTTGGCCCCAGTTCAGGTCCCACCGGTGGCTCTGGCACTTTGGAGAAATGAACTGTACTTTCCCTTCATCCCACAAGATGTAGGGGTCATGTCCGTGCAACCATGGGGCCTCGAGGACTAAGGGGAACCTGGCAATTGAGGTGATCACAAATGCTTTATTCTCCCAGTGTTTCCCAGCCCCAATCCGCAACGGCACAGTCTCATACTCACACGGGTCTTTCATTGTAGAGCTGTCCGTTTCGGTGAAAATCAGGGGTCTTTTAATTTCACCACCCCAGCCTCCAATCCCATAACCATCGAGGGGTTGATAAGGTCCCTCCCGCACCCCGAGTCAATTAGGGCTCTCACCCATATATGCGTGCCGAGGCTGGGGTTAATCAAAGTCACAGTCACGAAAAAGAGGGAGGGAAAACTGCTCACCACATTAGGCACCCCCGGAATCGGGCCCTGCTGCTCCGCGCCTCTTACAGCAGGACCAATCTGTTTCCCGCCGGCTCAGGGTCCTCTCTGCTGGATTCCGCCTCCCCTTCCTCGAGAGCCACTTGCAACGCTTTGGCATATTTTGGCTTCCCAGTCGCCTTCTTCACTGGCACTTGGGTTGGTTCACTGGGCCCCTGTTTCACAGGCCCCGATCCACCGCAATTGGCCGTGAAATGGCCCCGCTCCCCACATTTCAGGCAACGCCCCTGCCTCATGCGCTGCTCCCCGTTCGACTCCACGTGCCGTGGTGCTTTCCCTTTTGTTGGTTGAGGGGTCGGCTGACCCCCTGCCATCGCGATGTCCAGCCAAAGGGTTTGCAGGCGGGTTTCCGTGCTCTCTCCCTCTTGCATCCAGGCTGGGAGGGATACAGGATCAACTGCTCTCAGGACCGTCTCTTGAATCTCCAGGTTCAGTCCCACCCGGTATAGTTCCGCTAAGACAGGATCAGGCCAAGATTGCACTTTGGCCACGTGGAGCTTGAATTCCGATGAGTATCCCCTCACCGATCACCTACCTTGTTTAAGGGTTCGCAGGAACGCCCTCGCGTTGGGCCCAGCGTTCCGGTCTTCGAATTGGGCTCGCAACGGCCACATAAAAGCATCCAGATTAATCAATCCGTCACCGGCGTCGTCATAGTCACTGGCACCGTCGACTGGGTCGTTGGGGTCCCCCCACCAGTCGTGGCAGGAGTCGGGACTCCCTTAAAGTCGTCCATATCGGGAATGATGGCGCCTGGTATTTTTGGCCACTGTGTGTCAGAGTGTTGGACTGGATGGGCCATTGGCCTGATCCAGCATTGGCTTCTCTTATGTTCTTATGTTAACCACAGTCAGGAGAAAAGAGCGGCTCAGCCCACTGCACACAGGTTGCAATATTTTTAAATCACTTTAAAATGGTGATGGTGACCCTGTGGTAGCCACAATGATGCCATCACATCTACTTTGGCTCAAAGTCCTTGTCTGGTTCTAAGTTGGTGCCTCAGTTCCAAGAATAGCTGAATCCAAATTCCAGACAAAAGAGCCCTTTTAATACTTTTTTGTTGGTTGGATCATTGGGGTTTGAATTTAGAAAGGAAAAATCCAGTTTTTGCTAGAGCTATGAAGAGCTCCTGGCATGGCATGTTGGAAACTGGACTGAATTAAAATGGGGGGGGGGAGGATTAGCTTCAACGGTGGTAGAAATTGACCCAATTAATGCCCTGCTTCTATGGGCGCAATTGATCAGTTTACTACACTAGGAGGAATCATTCACAGGTATTGGCCAGGTGGAACTACTTACCAGGCTTCTATGTTAGGCCCTTGACAACAGATGCCTTGGGGCTCTAGGGGGGTTGGTTGGCATTTTATTTCCCCATATGCATGAGTAGCATTAAAGTTCACTTTAATGGCAGAGAATATGCTTCTCAAATGACTGCCTGTCATTTCCTGAAACCACCTTCTTTGGGGTGCTGCAACTTGGACCCCATAAATCCAATCCTCACCAAACTTGGAGGGCAGGTAGAGGAGAGTCAGCTGGAGATCCCCTGTGAGTTTGCTGTCTCTAGCATACTGGGGGGGGGGGTGTTCTACCACTTCACAAACTGAACCAGTTCATGAGGCAACTAAAAATGATTGACAGTCCGTGGTTTGCGAACAGGGCATGTCATGAACCAAACCACATTTTCCCGGTTCGTGCCCATCCCTACTGATCTCTATATTCTGGAGATCAGTTGTAATTTGAGGAGATCTCCAGGCCCTACCCAGAGGTTGGCAACCTTACATCAAACACTCAGTACATATGCTGTAACACCAGTGAAAAATCACTGGAAGCAAATTTGCAAAGCAGTGCACCCCTAGGAAAACTAACGTTTTGACTGTTATTTTCTGGGATGATTTCCCCCCCCCCTCAGATCACCATTGGAAAAGACCACTTACAGAGATGCTTCACTGCTCTGGGTTGTGACATCATGGCTAGAGAGCGCAGCAACTTTGAGACCTACTCCATGTTTTATGAAAATATCCTCCAGCAGCAGCAGCGGCTCCTGTATCAAAAAGAACAAGTATTCTCACGCTATTGATTTCATGGTGGGAAAGGGAAATATGTTGCTCTGATTCCTCTTCCATGGAAAGGGTTTGCATAGTTGCTGTACTAATCAAGTAGAAAGATGGTGATTTTTTCATGGAGATGGAAGGTGCTTTTTAATTCTCTTTCAGGAAATGCATGCAACAGAAGACAAAGGCAGAAATGCTGAGTTGGGGCTTACTCAGGTGGGTGGCATTGTTATTTTTATTCAGCTAAACTGAGGAACATCTCTTGTTGCTAGTTATATGTATACTCAAAGGTATGTTTTAAACCTATCAATTATGAATTTAGATAGAGGTACGTAGTTTTTATTGCATTTTCTCTTCATTGTTTAGGTAGCAGAACTGAGCCATGAGATGATCATGGAAATAACAGCCCTGAGAGCCAGACTTGCTGATCTACATAGAGAAGATTACCACCTCAAAGAACAAATAAGAAAAGAAGTGCAAGAGAATTATAATGCATTAGTGCAAAGCTTATTTCTGATGTGTTTGCAACTGAAAGTAAGTACAAAAGGGGCATGTATGTACAAAATGTAAGACAATTTAGTCTGCTTATTCATAGACAACCATGGTGAAGAGGTTGGGGAATATAAAAAATCTTTGTTAGATTTTGTTAACATTGTCCCCAGGCCCAGACAAGCCCCGGACAGTAGGATGTCTGCACAGAATTGTCCCACCCTTAAGATGCTGTTCCACTACGTCTCCTATGCCTTTTACAGTTCTTTCCATCTTCTTACCATTTCTCCCCTCCTCTCACTTATCTTCTATACTGTGGTTGTCTTTACCTAATATGTATGATACCAGTGAAAATAGCATTTGGCTAGTTGTATTCTGCCTTCTACTCTGGTGTCTTGATTCTGTCAGAACCCACAGCCAACAATGTAGTACACACTTCTCAGGAAAGGTAGGCACTGTTAAGAATGGCGTCTGCCCATTGGGCATAATAAGATATAGGGTATTCATATGCAACCCCCCTCCCACTGCCCTGGCCAATAAGTCACGCTCTCGCATGCGGGAGAAGGAGCTCAGGCCGTTAGCGCTGAAGCTGGGAACAACTGCGCTCACACGGGTCCCTGGAAGCTAGACATCACACCACCTGTACAACTTAGAGATAAGCGTTACAGCAGCTACGAAGTACAGAAGGAATGCAGTGGCAATTAGTATTCAACTGACCTCCCCAACCCCCATGGCAGCATAGCTGACAGATTCAAGAGAATAGTTTAGTCTATAGAAGCTCTGTTACAGAAAGTGTTTACACAGTTCAAATGTCAGTGGTTCGGAAACAACAGTGTTGATACATGTACTTTAAATGGAGAAACCGTTTGAGATTTCCAGTTTAATAGGTACATGCTATTATTATTTGTTTTGTTAAATCTGCTTCTGTGGCATATTGGAAACCACAGGGCCATTTTCTTTGGTATGAACAAAATAAAAGTCCTTAGCTCACTTATTGTAGCATAATCTTTGGTAGACTAAAGCAAAAATAAGTTACTTTAAGGTGCTACAGGACTTTGCTTTTGCTGTAACAGGTGGCTTCCTCGCTAGAATATCTTTTGCTTGGGCTATTGAGAAAATAATTGGAAATTCATTTTTCCACTTTTTAGCTCCCATGACTGTCAAAAATATGACCTACAATATTTGTTAAAAGAATGAGAGACTGAGGGACTCAGCATTTACGCTGTCATTAGGATGCTTCTTTTGTGAATTTTTGAATTTTGCAAAACCTGGGCTCTTGATCCATTCACAGTGCAACTTTTTTATAGCTGCTGGGAACTTTTCTCTAGGGGGTTATGGGATGCCTGCAAATAGCAGCCTTTCCATTCTGCCATGTGGAAAAAAAGAACACAGAAATCCAAATTGTTACTAATTTACTGTGGGGATCCTGATATTCATCTTAAACAGGGAACTTTGTTTCAGAAGTAAATCACAGATTTGTATAGCTTGGAATATCAGATGGTGCTTCTACACAATTGTGAATGCAGTATTTGTAACTGGTGCAGAAAGGTCATGAACATATATTAGGCAGTGCTTGTGACATCAAACAAGCATGCCTTTTTTGTGCCTGTATCATTTTATGCACCTTAAAAAGTTCTATTTTATTTCCCTTTTTTTAGTTTTTGGCAGCTGAGTACTTTTCAGTGTACCATTCAAGTATGGAAAAAACCACAGCAAATACCAGCAAAGCTAACCCCTTTCTTCATTCAACAGTGCCCCGTGCTGCTACTAATCTCTACCTTGCTTTTTTCATTAGCTTTTTTCATTGTCTCCAGTGAGATGCTAATTTACATGCCCCCCAAAGTTGATAGAGCTTTCATAAAATAGGGGTGAAACTTAGAACAAGATTAATTTACAGTATTTGAAATTAGGGGGGTTTTAATCAGGAAAAATTGAATTGCATGCCTTCCTTTCAGTTCACATACATTTATATAAATAATTCTGACCTCTGGCTGTGGTTTCAGGGAAAACTCAATGAGTATCGCTTAAGCATCAGTCGACACATGTTTGAGATGATCAGTGAGGTGAGAAGAGACGGAGTGGACAAAATTATTGCCCTGAAGAAGAAATTTGGCTCCACTAAAGACAACAGTGTGCTCAAAGAACATTTGACTCAAGTAAGCTGACATGTGAGAGATTTTTTGAATTTATGTTACAGAAAAGTGAACAGACAAATGTCAAGATTCAACACTGAGAGGAATTAGGAGCCCGTATTAAGTATAGATCTGATATCTATGTTTTAGGCATTTTCTACATAATGAATGGAAGTGACTACAAATGAAAATGTATAGGAAAGTGATACTGAAAACATATCTAAGCAGGAAACAACACCTTGTTCATTTCCTAGAACTCCTTGATGTTGCTAACCCACCAACAGATGGGAGAACAGAGTTTATCCCTAAGGTTAAAATGTCTTTCTTCTGAGAAATTTAAAAATTCATGTCTTCCAGATCTGCAAAGATCACTGGTAGAGACATGTGTTAGCCTATTTCAGCTGGAAGAAACCTATTTTGGTGTCTTGCCTGTGTGTATGCCTCATGGCCAGATATACAGGAACAGAAGGAACGCTAATGCGCAAACACTTTCCAGTATTTGGAAACTACCATCAGGCAGGGCATGTAATGCTCCAAGCTAAATCTGATTTACATTAAGTGGGAGAGCTGAACTGGTGCTGGATACAAGCAAGAGAGGAGGAACAGAAACATGTTAATAAGAATAAAAAAACTTGCTTGGCAAGCTGGGGAACAAAAAAGGCTGAGAGATGGCACTGTATCACAAGTGTCAACACAGGCCAAATCTGAAAAGCACTTTCCTGTAGGACTTCACATTCACATAGCATCTTGTTTAAACTGGGCTGACACCCACGCAAAGCAACTGAGAGGCATGTTTAGCTGCTTTGTACAGGTAGCAGACAGTTTACACGAGATGCTGTTTGAGTGCAGTATTGCACAGGAGAGTGCTTTTGTCTAAACCAGTTACTGTCTTTGAATCTAGCTACAGTGGAGGGAGATGGAATGTTTATGTTAAAGTACACTATTGGTAGCTAAAATTTAAAAGTCAGATGAAGATTTTTTTAGTATCAGTAGTCTAAATTTCTGAAATAGTCCCTCCAGAAAAGAACCGTGAACAAATGATATTATGGGTCCAAAATTATCTTCATAGATTTATCCAATGCTATCTTGCAATTTCTTCATTAACAATGTTTATAAGAACTCTCCTTCTGACATCTGACTGTACTCCTGACGTCTTCTACATCTGATAGAACTCATTTTAAAAAGGTCGTTTCAGAGGGTAACCGTGTTGGTCTGCAGTAGAACAGCTAGATTCAAATCCAGTAGCACCTTAGAGCTTTTGAGAGTCAAAGGCAGCTTTGACTTTCCAAAGGCTGGTGGTGGTAGTGGAATAAAGTGCTGTCATGTCACAGCTGACTTATGTCAACCCCATAGGGCTTTCAAGGTAAGAGATGTTCAGAGGTGGTTTGCCATTGCTTGGATCTGCGTAGCAACCCTGGTATTCCTGGGTTATCTTCCATCCAAATACTAACCAATGCCAGCCAGTCCTGCTTATCTTCTGAGATCTGACAAGCTCAGGCTACCCTAGGCCATCTGGGTCAGGGCCTTGGAAGATTACATCCCCAAAATCTTTTTTGGGGGTATTTTTTTGCATTTGTGTGTGTGTACCCATGTCTGGAAGTCATGGCAACCTCTGATGACTCCTAACTGAGGTATGGAGGAAATTCAACGAAGTGGCTTGATAGCCTACCTCTGCCTCCCAGCCCTGGTATTCCTTGGAGGTCTCCCTTCCAAATACTTGACAGGGTCGGCCCTGCTTAGCTTCCAAGATCTGAAGAGATTGGGCATGCCTGGGCTAGCCAGGTCAAGGTACATCCCAAAAATCTTGTTTGCCTCTAAGATGCTTACTGGACTATTAAGTTGGCTCATCTGTGACTACTGGGATTCTTCCTTCCAGTCTCCTACCTTTGTTTTGCACACACACACCCCCACGCACCAGCTAGCACAACCAGAAATGGGACACTGTGGCTAGCATGCAGTAAAAAGGTTCTGGTTTGACTTTGTGGGTTTTGCATAAGGTCTGACTGATCACCTCCCCCCCCCCCCCGGTCACCTGGGTAGGTAACCCTTTGGCTTCCTTGCAGCAGAGTGGAAAGGAACAGGGCTAATTAGATGGATATTAAAAGAGATTCTATGATAGATCACTAAACAGAAGCTTAATCCTTGCCAGACAGATGGTGATGCTGGTGGACCCAGTTAACCAGGAAGGAGGTGATTTTCATGTTCTGGATGGGGCCATAGCCTCATATAAGGGCTGTACATAGTTTACAAATACTCCTGATTCCATCATTGCTCCGGGATATCTAACTAGCTTTTGTCACAGGATGTGCCTGTTTTTATTTATTTTAATCGTCATAGGGGGTTTTTTAATTTTTAAATAATCACATACGTTACAATAATCAGAGAATTACATAAATTTCCAATTGAAACATCAGAGTGAGAAAAATGAAATAAAGTGTCATAATGTTTGCTCCCAGTGGCTTAAAGCCTGTTTCCAAATAAAATCAGATTTTGTGAAATCCTCATTTATTTTTGCAGGGCTGATAATTTCATATATAAATAAAAACTCTTTACCTTATCTACAAAAAGCTTTATTGTTAGAAGTTTTATTTGTTTCCAAAGTTTGGCAAATATTACTCTAGCAGCTGTAATAACATATAAGGAAAATACCCAATATTTATTAGGATTAGACATAGCATAATTCAACCGAGTTTGGGTGTACCAACAACACTATGGTCAATACCCTTTGACAACATAATAGTAATAATCTTCCAATATTTCTTGGCTCTAATGCAACTCCAGCACATGTGGAAAAAATCTACGTGAGGCTCATTATAAAACTAGCGATAATTGTTAATCACTTTATACATTCTGGATAACCAGTTGGGGAAAGGTGCCAATGATGGAGCATCTTTATTGCCTTTTCTCTCAAATTCAGACTGACAGAAACAGGCAAGCCTTCAAGAACAAAACTTCCAACCCTGAGTGTCAAGCTCATAACCTACAAGCATTGCCATTTCTTTATATATGTTTGGCCTGAGCCCCGAGCAGCCATACATAACAGTTTATAATATATCAATAATGAGGCACTAAGAACTTTGAACAGGGTTAACTCACTTCAAAAATCACCTTTACATATTCTTGAAACAAGCAAGTTTTTTATTTGGAGATACTGAAATACAAGTATTAATCCATTATTGCTTTCAAATACAATATTATATTGAACTTTTTTAAAAAAATCACTAAACTGCAGTATCTGTCCAATCCTGATCTTTCCTGTATTAGACTATTTATATTTTTAACAGCACCTCTCTGCTATTACTCCATGAAGCCATCCAGTATGACCTTACTGTATAATAATTTAATAAATGTGCCTGTTTTTAAAGCTTTTACTGATTCATCAACTGTGTACTGCTTTGGAAAGAAAAGACTTTTCCTCTGTCATATAGATGCCTCGGTAGCTGCCAGATTAGGTTAGTGCAGTGTGCTCCATGTGGGCTGCCCTTGTGGATGGTTTGGAAATATCAGTTGATCCAAAATGTAGCTGTGTAATTACTATCTGCTGCTTGCCAAATGGAACATATTACACTAGTGCTTAGGGGTGGCACTTGTTGCCAATTTGTTTCCAGGATAAATTCAGGATACTGGTAGATGACCTCCAACTAATGTACTTAGAATTTCCTTGGGACTTTAGATCATCTGCTGGGGCCCTGCTCCAGGTCCTACCTGTGGTAAGTATGGCATCCCATAGCTGGAGAGACTTCACTGAAAGCACCCCATTTGTACAATGGTCTCCTACAGAAAGAAAAGAAGCAGCCACTCTTTTGACCTTAATGACTACCTGTTTTCCACCAAACAATAACATTTGTCATTTTTGCTTGTTTATTTTGTATTTTAGAGTTGTTTTAAAAGCTATTTTAGTCATTTTTTGTTAGCTGCATTGCGGTCCCAAAACTGAATGGGAAGAATGGTTATAAATACATTTTAAAATAAGATTGGTATGACACAACAAAAACAATTCCCTCCCTCAAGAATTGATTCTAAAATGGATACTTGTTTACTATTGTACTAGCAGTAAAGCCCGTTGTGGAAATAAATACAACGAGATCTAGAAAGAGGCTCTGGGGGAGTGCTCTGGCTTTGGGCAAACAGTGTCATTTTGCTGTGGTGACCTCAGCAGGGTATAATGACAGAGTCCACTGTTTTCTCCAGAGGAACTGATCTCTGCTACCTGAAGAGCAGTTGTAATAGTGAGTGATCTGTAGCCCTCACCTGGAGATTGGCAACAATTGTTACCCAGGATGAAATGGCTGGTTTGGAGGGTGGAGTCTATGGCAGTGTACCTGTCTGAGGTCCCACCCCTCCTCAAACCTCACCCTCTTCAGGCTCCATCCCTCAAATCTCCAGGAATTTCCCATCTGGAGTTGGCAACCCTATCAGGACTGGCCCCAATGTGTTTTCTCCCAAAGGCCAAAGTAGGTGACAGGACCAAGCTTAGTTGCCTACCAACAGGCACTGAGGGGAAAGTAGGATTGCCAGCTCTAAGGAGGGAAATACCTGGAGGTTTGGGGGGTGGATTCTGTAGAGGGCAGGGCGACGGAGGCATCGGCCTTCTGTCGCCCGCCTTGATCTCCAGGTCCCACCTGGAGATTGGCAACCCTAGGGGAAAGTCAGCTGCACAGCAGGGGGTTGAAGAGAATGGTTTGATGGGTGCTGGGCCAAGATTGGCAACAATAGTTCCCCAGGAGCAAATAGCTGGGTTGGAGGGTGGAGTCTATGGCACTGTAACCTGTCTGATGTCCCCCTCTCCGGCCTCCACTCCTCAAATCTCCAGGATTTTCCATACCTAAAGCTGGCAACTTTATCTCCTCCCCTCTCAGTAGCCTCTTATTTTGCCTTAAATTGGTTTTGATGCCAGCAGAGTGAGAAAATGCCAGAGGCTCTGGGTGGGTGCCTCATCGTAAATGCACCAAACAATTCCTAAAGATTTGCCAAAACACTACTCTGTCGACAAATTGCAGCACTTTGAATTAGCACCAGAGCTTTAAGAGCTCTCCAGCTGTCACCTGGAGACTGGCAACAGCTTGTTTGGAGGGTGGGGAGTATGGCATTGTATCTGTCTGAGGTCCTCCTCTTCCTCTTCCTCCTCCTCCTCCTCAGACCCCACCCTCAGCAGGCTTCATTCCTAAACTATCCTGGAAGTTTCCAACCTGGAGTTGGCAACCCTATGTCCTTTCCAGGCACCCATCAGCCTAACCTTTATCTGCCTGTCTGTCTTCAAGTTTACTCCCCCCCCCCCAGCCTCTGCCTAGGGACCAGCTGACATCATTCTCCTCTCCCCCATATGATCCGCACAACTACCCTATGCGGCATGTTATGGTTGAAAGTGTGTGAATGGTCCATAGTCCCCCAGGCAGCTTTTAAAACATGAACCTGGGACCTGCACACCATCACTGCCTTGTGGGGGGGGGGAGTATGAGGTGTGGAATGGAGTGAAGTCCAATCAGCTTCCATATGCAAAAGACCTTGAAGGTTCCATATGCAACTGACATTTCAACTGCCTTGCGGGGAGGGGGGTGAGTTTGAGGTGTGGAATGCAGTGAAGTCCAAACAGCTTCCATATGCAAAAGACTTTGAAACGCTGGGCGGGACTGCACAAAGCAGCCAGTCATCCCAGCCAGCGTCTTCTGACTGACAGTTCAAGCGTCCATACACTAAAGGGGCCAAATTTAGAATGTTCATATAGAATGTTCTTACTCAATTATATATAAGGAGAGATATTAAGGAAATGTGTCTGCTATCATGTTTTAAATGTATTGCTTTATGCCAGATGTTTTCCTTTAGTCATCTTGCTGTATAATGTTCTGTTTACTCTGATTTGGCTGGGTAATAAATGAACTGGATGCTGGTTCAGTCACACGTACTTGAAATGCTTTCCTAAAATGGGACTTGACTGTAGCCTAAATTATTGCCTTAATCAGAAAGCCGATATTCTAAATATGCAAATATAGCACAAATAGAAGGAAGAGATCATATATCTAACTTAACTCAAAACTGGAGGAATAAAAACCATCCTAGATGAAATATGTGCATCATCAGCCCCATAGTTAGACATTTGGGGGGGGGGAAGAGGGGGCACAGTGGCTAATTTAACTAAATCAATTAAATCAAATTAATTAAAAATGCAATGGGGTCACCATGAGTCCGACACTACTCCACGGCGCTCCTTCCCTGCTCACTCTTGCTCTTTGGCTCACTCTGCCAGGCTCAGGGGAGGAAGAGAAAGCACCTCAGCCACGCAGCCCGATCCCTCCCATCCTCCTTTGAGAAAGCCTCCAAAGTGTAGAGGAAGTGAGGAGGCTGTTTGCCCTATCAGGCTCAGCTCCCCTGTCTCCTCCCTTCCCTCCCACTGCCCCCCAGCCTGGCGTGTGGGAGAAGCTGGCTGGCATTTCTTGGCAAGGAGGAGATACATTTGGGCAGGGTGGAAGAAACCACCTGTCTGCTCCAGTAACATGCTGCCCAGCTACCAAGGCTCTGTCACCCTCCCCTCCCTCTCAGACCTGGCAGCAGAGCAGCCGTAGCAGCACCTTTGCAGTGGCCACCAGCGAAGTCCAGAAGCCACCATCTGCCCCAGGGAGGGAGGGAGGGAGGGAAGAAAGGATAAGGTGGCTGCACTAACCTCGTTGCCAGTTTCTGGGAGGCTCCTGGTGACTCGGCTTCTCCTGGGCAGGCTTGGCTAGTGGGAGTGGTGCCAGTGCGTAAGGGGGTCTTCCTGCTTCTGGCTGCTTTGCCCATGCTTTCACATGCTTTGCCCATGTGAAACTGAGCCACCCCACCGGGAGGGTCTGGCACATCTGTGGGGGGCATAGCCCCCCTCGCCCCTGGCCAGCTGCGGGCTACCACTGGTAGTGCTATAATGCAAAAATTAATTTTTCAAAGCCACGATGATAAGCCAAAGCTGCTGTTTTGGATAACTTTGAGTAGTCACAGGTGGTGTTCCCTCTAAGCTGTGTTAGTGTGAGATAGCTCACAGTTTTTTAGCCTCTGGCTCAAACATTTTTGTCTTAGCTCAAGAAGAATGGCTCCAGAGCAAACTAATTTATGCAGTAGCCAAATCACCTGCTCACAACTTTAATGCCAGTAGCTCACAAAATAGAATTTTTGCTCACAGGACTCCATAGCTTAGAAGGAACATTGGTCACAGGCAGAATGCTTCAGTTTCATTTAGGGGTATATTATTTATATGCTGTTTCCCAGGTTTTAGATTTGGCTTGCACCTTTTAGTCTTCCACAATACAAAATCTAATGCTTAAAATTGCACAACTAAACAGCTGTTTGTGAAATAGTAGATTTGTCAAATGAGGACTTGATGGAGGTTTATTTGCCTTTATTAGCAGGAGCAACTGCAGGAGCTAAGGGATGAAAACAGCCATTTGGGGGAGTTGGTGTGCAAACTGAAGACCATTAGTTGCTGGAAAGAAACAGTCCAAAAAGCAAAACTGTCTGCCTCCCTAAGAGAGATGGAGAAGGTGAGAGAAACAAAGCCCCTTTCTTCAGTAAGCTTGCTGAAATAAAGTCATTCTAGATTATGGCAATAAAGCATGTCTTAGCATCAACTTTTCCCAGTGTTTTAACTGTTTCTTCTGTTCTTATACTAGTTTCTTTCAATTGCTTTTGGGGAGCATCAAAGCTATGGTTGAGGTTGGTCATCTGGTCCAGCAGAGGGCGCAGTGCTATAGCTAGCATATTAGGGAAGTCAGTGGTTACTTCTGGTCTAGAGGCCGGCATTGCTGAGCTGGCAGTTCCTGTAGAAGGTATCCTCCTAGCTGCCATTTTATCAGCCTGTTGCGACATTGCTTACACAGAAGAAAAAAGTTCCTTTAAGTCTCTGAAAGTCTGTTAAGTCGTACGCTTCCTACTATTCCGCACACTACTCGGCTACAATAATGCTTTTCAGTCAGGACCATCACTCTGCCACTCATATTTGCTCTCACAATAACTTTTTCCAGGGTGGGATTAACTCCTCCCCCCTCCACTGTATCGACTTGGGCCTTTGGGGCAGTTATCCGCTTGGGCGCTTGGCTAGTTTTAAGATGTACACTCATGCTTCATTCCACGCGTTACTTCCAAAGGTAGGGAAAGCCTCTGAATGCTGGATCACTTGTTTACTCGGTCCGGCGTGCACCTCTACCTCCATTACTGGTCTTGCGGCAGCAGGACCTATCAGGGCAAAGAGGAGCCTCGATTCCTTGGCCGTTGCCTCGGAAGAGGCACCCCTCATGCTCCAGGCTATGAGCCCCCTCCAAGGGCTCTGGGGGGGCCTGGAATTGTCCGGGACCCCTCCTGTCTGCCACGGTTACAGGCCGCTCTCATTGGAGAACGATGGAGCACACCTGCCAGCAAGTCTCCAAAACTGGAAGTCCTATGCTATGGCCCTTTTAATACAACCCAAGACTGAATTAGCCTTTCTTGCCACCGCATCATACTGATTGCTCATATTTAGTTTACAGTTCACTCACCCCAAGATCTCTTTCGCATACACTACTCCCTAGAAACATATCCACCATCCAGTATTTGTGCTTGACATTTTTGTGACCCAGATGTAATACTGTGCATTTACCTTTGTTGAATTGCATCCTGTTTGCAATACTCCAGAGTATTTAGGTCTTGTTGAATTATAACTCTATCTTCTTGGGTGTTTGCAACTCCTCCCAATTTGGTAGCATCAGCATATCTAATGAGTAGCCCTTCTACCCCTTCATCCAGATCATTGATAAAAATATTGAAAAGTACCAGGCCCAAAACCAAGCCCTGCGGCATCCCACTGGACACCTCCCTCCAATCTGATGAAATGCCATTGACCACCACTCTTTGGGTGTGGTCCTCTAACCAGTTCCCTATCCACTGAACTGTCCTATAGTCCAGTCCACAGTCTTCCAGTTTTCCCATCAGAATGTCATGGGGAACCTTATCAAAAGCTTTACTGAAATCCAGGTAAATCCCATGATCCTGTAAGCTCGTCACACGATCAAAGAAGGAAATCAGGTTGGTCTGACAAGATCTGTTGGGGACAAAACCATGCTGACTTCCCCAGATCACTAAGTGGTCCTTCAGATGCTTACAGATCGATCCCTTTAAAATCTGCTCTAATATCTTCCCAGGAACAGAAGTCAGACTGACCGACTTGTAGTTTTCCAGGTCATCCTTCTTCCCTTTCTTAAAGATTGGGATAACATTCGCTCTTCTCCAATCTTGTGGCACATCCCCAGTCCTCCAGGAGGCCTTGAAGATGATGGACAGAGGCTCTGCAAGTTCCTTAGACAGTTCTTTGAGCACTCTTCGGTGCACACCATTTGGCCTAGGGATTTGTATTCATCCAGTGCAGCCAGGTGCCTCCACAACCTCCCTGTCAATGTCAACTGGACACTCAGGTGTCCTGTCATATCCTCTACCATCTCTAGATGGGCTCGAGTTCTTCAGGAAGAAAACAGAGGCAAAAAAGTCATTAAGCCTGTCTGCTTTTTCTCTGTCCTCCACCAGGGTTTCTCCTTCTACTCCCAAAAGTGGCACAATTGCCTCTTTCACCTTGCGTTTGCTTCTCACATATCTGTAGAAGTTTTTCTTATTGTAGCGAGCCCCCCTGGCCAGACCTAACTCATACTGAGCTTTGGTTTCTCTGATGGCTGATCTGCAGTACTTAGTAACTCTCATATGCTCCTCTTTGGAGGCCTGACCTTCCCTCCATTTCCTTTTTCTCCCTTAGCTTATTCTGGAGGTTTTGGTTCATCCACATCGGTTTCTTAGAGCCCTTACCATGTTTCCATCTTGCTGGAATAGTATGGGCTTGAACTCGCAAAAACTTATGTACTGTAGAACTGAGAGGGGGCTCAGAAGGGAGATCGACTCTTCCTTCTTCTCCTTGACTTCCTTCTTCATGTGTTTGCAGATTTCCCAGGCTCTTATTAATAAAATCCTCCCCTTCCTTGATTTCCTGAAGGGTGGTGAGGATCTCCTGCAGGCTCTGAATATTCTCCTCCAAAAGCTTGACCAGCTTACAGTTCTGACAAGTGAAGTCCGTCTTCTCTTCCAGGAGGAAAACAAACATGGCACACTCCATGCAGGTGACTGGAAAGGGGCCTTCACTCAACATCATTGCCATCAAAGTATATTCCAAGAGTACTCTGAGCAGAGTTTCGGGGCCCTCAGGCACATCCTGTCAGCTATGCTGTCATATGGTTTATGGGCCTAGGTTCACTTTCATGACCTGTGTGCCAGTTGCTGCCGCATTCCTTTCTTTTCGCTTCTCCCCCTCGTTATCACTGATCTTGTAGCCAGCCTGTGTAATGTCTTCCCATCAATTAACCGTGAGACTAGTTACATTTCCCAGCCTCAGCTCTAACTGCCTTGGTCCTCTTTTCCGCCCGCGGGAGTCAGGCCGATTGGCCCATAGGTATGTGTGTGTGGGGGGGTTGCATTTGAATACCCTATATGTCTCACAGAGTTCTATGATGTAGTTATTCCTAACAGTGACTGTGTCTATACTACCATAATGCTAGCAACAAAGTATAACCTTCGAAGAAGTGTGTGCTCTGTTGTTTGACTGTGGGTCCTGACATTCTGTTAGGAATCCCTCTTTTCCCTACTTCCTCGCATCTCTCAAGCCGAAATGAACGAAGATGAGGAGAAACCTGTTCGTAAGACGACGGAGAGTGAGGTTCCTAGCACTCAGACTGAGGTACCGGTGACCACCACACCACCGGTGACTGCCCCAATACCGACTCAGAGTCTAGGTACTGTGCCGAAGATGTCAATGGCCAAGTTGTTCCTGACCCTGCGCGGCCCGCGGCAGCTGGCCAGGCAGTCATATCAGCCGGGCAGTTTGCGGTGGGGGCAGTTCAACCCAGACTCAACGGAGATGTACTCCCTCACTCAGGGGCCACGGAGAGACAGTCGGTTTGATATCGGGTTCCAATCTGATGCCAGCTTCCTGCCATTTGGGGGTACCTCGGAGGCAGCAACCGGAGCATGGGTGACAGGCAGCTCAAAAGCGTGTAGCGGCCCCACATCTCTGGAGGAGGAGTTTGACTGGGCCCAATGCCTGTCTCCAGATGAGACAGGAATTCGAGGACACGCTCCTGGCCATACCGGACATGGTAATAAGAACGCTGCGAGCAGAGTGTGAGGTGCCACAACCAGCGCCGGCCCCTGCACCTCCCCAGGATGCTCCCCCCATTCCAGTGCCACAAGGCCCGGGGCCTGCTGGCCCGCCTGTAATTCCATGCCCAGGCCAGACAGCCCGAGGGGCCCCATCCTTCACCAGTCAAAAGATCTAATCGAGGCGACCTTCGATGGGGACCCGGAAGAGTTGTCATACTTTGTGGTTTGAGATATGAAGTTTGTGGGAAAATGGGGTCACCTGTTCCCAGATGACAGCAGCCGAGTGGATGTAATCACAGCTCGCTTGAGAGGGGCCACGGCCACTTGGTACGTGGGCTTGCACAATGTGAGGGGCCCGGAGCTGGTGAGTGTGGATGCTTTTATGTGGGCGTTGCGTGCCCAGTTTGAGGACCGAAATGCTGGCCCGAAGGCTAGGGCAATTCCTGAGCACCCTGAAACAATGGAAGTGGCTGGTGAGGGAATACTCATCAGAGTTTAAACTGCACGCGGCTAAGGTATGAAATTGGCCAGACCAAGTCTTGGCCGAGGTGTACCGGGTGGGGCCGAATCAAGAGATCCGTGAGACGGTCCTACGCTCGGTGGATCCGATATCTCTCCTGGCATGGATGCAAGAAGTAGAGAGCGTGGAGGGCTGTCTCAACACTCTGCGCCTAGACATTGCTGCAGCGGGAGGAAAACCTAACCCTCCCCCGGCCCAGAAGGGAAAGCCGGTAAGACCGCCTGAAACGCTCAGGGATCAACGCCTGAAGCAGAGGCTGTGCCTAAGGTGCGGGGAACGGGCCTGCTTTGCCACCAACTCCAGCAGATCGAGCCCTGGAAAACTGGGGAAACCCGAGCCGGCCAAGCTGTGGGTGGAGACCCCGGTGAAGAAACCATCAAGCAAGCCGAAATTCGCTAAGGTGCTGCAGGCAACCCCGGAGGACACCGAGGACAGCACCAGTGAGTACGACAACACCGAGCTGGCGGGAAAAGGCCATGTCCTGCTGTGAGAGGCGCGGAGCAGCAGGGCCCAATCCTGGAGGCGCCAAATGTGGTGAGCAGCTACCCTCCCCTCTTTTTCGTGACTGTGACCCTCATGAATCCGGCCAAGGGGACCCACATCAGAGTAAGGGGTCTCATTGACTCAGGGTGCGGGAGGGACCTTATCAATCCATCTTTAGTGGCGGGGCTGGAAGCCATGGTGGTGCAGTGTCAGCAAGCTGCCATGGTGTTCTGTGTTACTTGTGTCTTTGTACTGTTGCTCACCCCCCCCTGCCTGTTAGCCAGTATTTTATTCTGCTGTAATGCCTAAGCCAAACAACTGGAGGATGTATTGGGAGAGTTCGCTTCACTGCCAGCTTGTTGCTTTTAGAGCCTGGGAACTGCACCTGTGTTATGTCTGGAGATAGCCTGGTTCTCAGGGAATGAGCGCGAAACCGTTTTAGTTCACCCGCCAGCGGGAAAGTGACCCATTGGTTCTGTACCTGTTTCAAATCCCTTTATTATGCTTGCCCTAACCGTTTGTAGTCAGTTCTAACAAAGAACGTGTTTGAGTATCTTCCAATGCTTTGAAATAAAATCTTGCTTTTAAAACGTGGATTTATTCTCGATGCTTGGGATCCCAACATATTGTTAGAACTCTCATCGTTCCTGTCGTCCCGAGTCTGGCGAGATCATGAGCGGGATAGAGGGAACCACACCTAACACGGAGGGGGACACGGGATCGGTCCCAACGACCTCCACAACGTTGATCACCACGACGGCTGCATCTTCGTTGGGTGCGGTGGGGGGAACGATTCCCCGGCTACCTGCTTACTTGTCCTGGCCGCCTCCAACCCCTTCGCAATGGGGCCAGCGGCAGACACCAATGCAGGAGGATTGGACTATGTAAATGCCAAGGGCACCAGGGAGGTTTATTCCCGCCGTGGCAGTGGACTTCGGGAGAGTCTGTTCGATAAAGGATTATTTCCCGACACGGAGAAGCCGGCTGATGGCGGGAAGTATAGAGCTATCCTCCGTGACACTGAGGATTGGATGTATGAACCGTTTGGAGAGGGAGCTTCGGCGCCTCCAAGCGAAGGGGACTATGAG